GCATGGAAATTATCGTTGATATACAAGCTTTTAAGAACGATGATCAACCAGTTTTTAAAGAACTTGCAATGATAAATCTCAATGACGATATAGAACCCGCTCATTGGATTTTCAAGCCACCATGTCCTTGGGAAGAACTTCCCAGTCATTCAAAACGTGAAAATTCATGGCTTACAAATAACTATCATGGGCTTGATTGGAATACAGGAAACTTACCATACGATTGCCATCCGCTTATTATACAAGACCTATGTCGCTTAGCAGCTGACACTGACAAAGTTCTTATTTATGTAAAGGGACGTCAAAAAGTGGAGTGGCTCACTAGATTTATTGATCATGTCTTCGATCTCGAAGATCTGGGTTGCCCTTCCTTACATCAGCCAGGATTTTGCGAACCTATAGTTTGCAATTATCATCCTCCAGGCTGGACAGAAAACTGCGCGCTTCAAAATGTCGTGGCTCTTAAAAATTGGTTGAAAAATCGTTATAGTCGACAATTAAGTCAGACTTGCGACTTCCCTGACAGCGATTCTTCAACGTCAGAGTCGAATAATGATAATGATGATTATGATTATGATTACGATGTGATCAGCAAACTAAAAATGTTAGATTTAGAGGATGAGGAAGATGAAGTAGAGGTGGGGGATTGGTACAAAGCCTTCAATTAAAATGATCGGTTTAACCCTATATATACAGTAGCATAAAGGTACGGATTCATTCGCTCGTCTGCGCTCACAGTAGATACTTCATATAGCTTGAATACTCTTTTTAATCAAAAATTGTATGTCAACTGTTACTCATAGAATTTTTTCATTTTTTATATTTGAAATTTTACATGTCGTAGGTATCAATCTTCATTATGGAAGCTATTAACGCTGTAGCTCGTACCCCATCCTACTTGCCAACGAAAAAATTAAAAGAATTGAATCCTTCAATCCTTTACACAGTCACTGGCATGAAAAAAGTTCAAACAAAATTCGGAGCAAGAGTCGTCGTCGAACTGGATGCTGAGTTTAACATTTTCCTTCCCAGCAAACTAAGCGAACATTTCGTTGTGAACCCGGAATCGTACAATACTCTGCTCAGTCAACTTGAAAAAAGAATTGTTAAGATTAAGTATCTTGGCGGCAGCTTATTAGAATTTATATAAGTTACAATAATTCAATAAATATAAAAAAACTTAAAGAAATTAAGCATTTTCAATTTACTATTTATCATCCATTCATTACTTTTCTTTATTCATTTTAACAATGAGCATTGATGTGTTTGGACGCAAGCTCAGAGGAGCTGACGAACTAAATTTGAAAACTTCACATGAGATTCTTTTAACAGAGATTGAAAATATTAAAGATTCTATTTTAAAATTGAAAGCTGAATTAAAAGAAACTTATACATTGATTGATCTTCATCGAGAAGAACTTGATATGAAAATCATAGAAGTTTTATCTGACATTCATAAGTTGAATGAGTCATTTACCCTCTCCATGACGCAGTTGCCGTTACAAAAGGAGCGCGATTCATTCGCCGCAGCTCATTTGCCGTCTGCGACAGCATCAGACACATTATGAATTCATTAAGTACCAACATTCGAAGTCGGGCTATAGCCTGCTTGCATGAATATCTTAGTAAACCGTATAATATAGATGATTCTATGATTCAAACAACGATGAATTATGTACAGTCACTCATTGACGAAGGTGCGGACCTGATACATTTTTCTAACATTTTCAACCTATCAACGCATGATCTCATAATAATTGAATATTCTATAGCCTTATTGAAAGGTATCTGGTACATGACAAAGGATAAGAAAACGAACAATTTATCTGAATATTCAATGGGTCTTTGTCATAAATTTACTCAGGAAGATATTCCTAGTTCTAGAACTGATAGGTTAGCTACAAAAGTAGTGATCAATGTTAGTCATTCCATACTAAACGTCTTTATACAATATGTTGCTGAATGTGTTCGCATCACCATTGACAATTATCTCCGAAATGAATTGGTTCTGGATGTACATTTTATATTCACAGTTTTATATCTACATCGTGAATATACCGATTCCAATCCCAAATTCAAAGTTAAACTTTTCAAAGTGAAATATATTCCTGTTTATTCGGCTTACACATATCGAAGATGGTTCTGCATAAAAGTGCTACAACCTCTGAAAACCAAGATTGAAAATTATTAAACACAGAATCCAATTTACACTCTTGGCTGTGTAACTAACGTAATTGTCAGCTATTATAAATAAGACAACGCAAGGATCAGATTATTCATCAGCCAGCATTCGAATAAAATGGACCGTTATCCGTCAGTCAAGTATTCGCGTCTTCCCCAAGAAGACCCAGATGAAAAGAAAAAACAATCTACATGGAAACAAGTCACTTCCAAATTTTCAACCAACACTAGTCAATTTCCAGAACAAAAAGGCTACAAACAGTTCGACAATAAAAAGAAGTAATACAAATAATTAGATTACAAAAATTGTATAAGTATTATAATATAATAAACATGTATACTTTTTTTATCAAATAAATGTTTTTTTAATTTTAAACGTATTCAAAATTTCGATGATTTTTTGTTGATTTTTCAATGATAATAAACCTTATCCCCCACCTCATTCCATGAGATATACCGACTGGGCGCGTCATGCCTGTACGCCACCGTCGATAATATTACAACCCCCAAAACACACTTAATCACATATATCTTTTTTTCTTTCATCAATCTGGCGCATCATCGATCGATCATCAGGGGGGAGGGAGAGGGCTATAGGGCCGGGGGGGCATGGGGCCTGCATCACCCACGTCGATAACTACCGACCGAGCATACACATGCACATGCACATGCACATGCTCGGTCGGCTACAATGCAAACCGTCGATACAAAATCGGCCGATAAAACATTTCAGTGGCCGGTAAGGCAGGATTAATCATGTTACCGACTGCTGGTAAGGAAGGAATGAATACTCACATGGTAAAAGTGGCTTAGAACCCTTATAGCCTATACTACTATTATATATATAATTTATAATTGTTGTCTCTTTAACCTGAAACTCTGTAAGGAGTCCTGTACTACCTCTTACAAATTATAAAGTATACCTTACACTGTACAAAGTGCGAGAGAGAGAGAGAGCTCTCTATGCCTGTTTCCCCGCTCGCGCACCGGTCACACCGATGACTTTGTCCCGTGCGCGCTTCTATAGACTTAACTGCTCGACGTTCTCAGCAGGTCTGATTGTGAGATACCTCTTTCATCGGCGACATTGCTGTGCTACCAGGCCAGGCTACTGATTGCCTGCACTGACACCTGCCAGAGCTGACTCTGTCTGATCAACGAGACGTTCTCTTAGTTAACTCACCCGGAGACATTCGCTTCTCATTTATATCAACGAGAAATATCGGGATCTAGACAAAGTCCCATTGTAAATTAACAAGTGTGAAAATGTATCTTATACATATCGTATACATCTAAAACAAAAATTTTCTATTTTGCAATGAATGATATCACAGGTTGTAATAATCGATTTCAAAAAATGAAGTAGTGTTTTTTGAAGTAGAGGATTTGCTCTTTCTGATGTTGTTTTCAGATTTTCAATAGAACAGAAATTTGCGATGTGAGAAAAGTCTAAAAAGTATGAAAATTAATATTTTTTGTACTTTTAGGTTAAAATATCTTAAAAATCTAGGGTGACGGAGCACGTTTGAGCCCAAATGTGTGTTCAGCACACAAAATTCCTTTCGGTACACTACCTTTGGTCTCTGCTTCTGAAATGCATTGACTTATGTTATTATTGTAGTGTTATAAAAACAGACTTTACGTTAAAAAATACCTTCTCAACAAATGCTTGGATGAATAAAATAATTATTAACAAATTCACATCTTAAAATATGAGCGATTAATTTGTGAATGTATTTATATAGAAAATTATAAATCCGTGGTGCAAATTATGTTTGACTGATCACAAATATTCGATGAGAATGATTCGGAAAGAAAACAAAAACTAGTCTAATTATAAGTAAAAAAGATATAAGTATGAAGATATTACGTGGAAAAACCTCTCAAAGAACGATGTGTTGCATCACTTTCGCTTTTGATCAATTATTTTAGAAATTGTCTGACCTCAAAAATCATGATGTTAAAATATTATATTCAATAAAAACTCCAAATTAATCGAATATAATAGATTATACCAATTTTTTTGGTTAGAGTATGAAACGATATAGTCTTTAAAAAGGCACAATACTAATAATTTATGGTAATATCTTACACCTATTAGGATACAATATTATAATAATAACAGTGTTTCATTCGGTATTTTAAAAAGTTTAGCATTAATATAGTTATCGAATAACCTTAATTACTATCGTATGGTATTACAGCTTCATTCCTCGTTAAATCTATATATTATGTGTGTGTGGGTGTCTGAATGTGCGCGCGCCTGTTTTTATATGTGTGCGTATACATCGAGTATTTTTACTTCAAATAATACCGATTTACAATAAAATAGTTGACTATACATAAGTATTATTTTAACATTAAATACTATACTTTATATATTGTAGACAGAAATTGAAAATAATTAATTAAATTTAATAAAATAATGATTGTCAAGTAAGAGATCTAGTATAATAAAGTTATAGATCGGTTTTTGTTATTTTCCAATGTTACCCGCCAACAATTTTCGACAAAGTTTGAAAAACGTGTGTATTATCATAGGTGTATATTAATAGCTGGCACATTCGCGGTATTTAGTTTCATAAAATATAAGGGATAATACACCGTTTATTAAAATTTTTTATCACAAAAATTTACGTAAGTAGAATTTTGGCGTTTGGGGGGGGCACTGTATGTCGGTTTGTGTTTGTTAGTATGGAAATACCCAGAAAAACCTTACACACATTATATAAAAAATTAAAACCATCAGCAAAATTATTTATAAATCAATTTTATGAAATGAAATGAATTTCTTATAAATCATTGAATATATGTTTTAGTTAGCCGACATAAACCGCCATGTGTGGGTAACAGCAGCTGGAAAAGGAGAGTTAGAACTAGAACTTTCCATGATGGATGTAGTACAAACGCATGTTATTCCGTCCGAAGATGCTATAGATCCTGATGTCCTACAAGCTATAGCGAGCCTTGGCTGTTTTAAAGAACGAGAAAAACTCATTAAAGAACTCCTTAGTCTGAAGTAAGTAGAACCATTAAAAATAGATATAACAATTTTATTTTAAAACAATTTAATACTTTTCGAAAAACTTTATATGAAACTAATGCATATCTATTAATTGTATTATTACTCTTAATCATATTAAATCTTGCGAAATTAGAAAGTAAAAAAATACGAGAGTCACACCTATAAACAACTATAAACAAAAACTAACTCAACTAAATTTATTTTCGACAATGTTTCGCTGGTTTGTCTTTCAGCCTCATTAGATCATTTATTCAAAATATTGATATCTATTATGGTATACATTTTCTTGATTTCTGATCGTTCAGGAATGATTTGGGTACTTACCTCTTCAGGTAAGTGGTGGATAGAGAGACGCTTATTAATTCAATTAATACGAGGTTAACAACCCGATAGAAAATATTGTCATTTATATATAACATTTAATGGTGCTTTGTTATGACTATTTTTTGTATTTTTTATTTTTTATATTGCATTAATGCATACATATACTATAGTATCTCTTTTATATGGGGTTGACATCTCTTTATAATTTATTATAAATAATGATTCGATGAATGATAACACAAGCACACGCTAAACCATTTTAATTCCAGCAACCAAGATTTTCGTGTATTTTTATTCACTCAATCTGAATTCATCGTCTCTTTTTACTCATCAGATCTAAATATTTTTTAAAGCTAAAAATCCCTAAAATTAACCGAAAATATCATATGTTACAAATAAAAAATGATACATGTGGAATCTACTTACAAAATTCTTTATTCATTTCTTTATACATTTTTGGTCGCTGTAATCGAATTCGTCATAATTTTTACCCATAAAGTCTATTTAAAAAAAAAAAATCTAATTCTCATTTCTCCATTCAAGTAAAGGTACAAACCTTTTATCACAAATTTGAAACATATCTGAGTGAATAGATTAATAAATCGAACAAGCTATTGTATCGATATTTCGCTCTCAATCGTAGATTGAGCTCGTCGGTGAAAACATTACAACCTTATTTTAGTTACCAATGTTAAAGTGAGAAATAAATTCTACTGGCTTCAATATATATATATATATACTCTACAGAATATATATTCTATAGCAACAAGAATAAAAAAATAACGATATTTTTTTGTAATATTGTATTCTCTTAAAACCAACATCGTGAAACTAAACAACATTGTGAAAGCTCTATTATTGAAAAAAAGATTACAAGTGTCAATATAGTAGACGGTGCTAATAATCATATCAATAATGAACATGACAGTTTCATATTGAAAGGTGAAAATGAGGATCCAGCAATACAAATTGAATGAATATTTTTTCAGGTATGTCAATAATTATCGAAATAATTAGAAGCGTTAAACGTGGTTTTTATTTTGAATTTTGTTTAATTCACTAAAATAATAGTTATTTCAACTAGAATGGCAAAAATATTGTTACAAGTTTAACGTAAATAGTCGCGAAGTAATTTGAATCTATTTTAATTTGTTTATTATTGTTATAAATGTAATAACTGTACATTAAGATTATGGTTTGTGCCCCTAGCATTTAACTAAAAACAAACGTCGGAAGTATTCAAATAAAAAATATAGATAATTCAAAGCGAAAATATAATCAATAAAATTGATACTTTCCAGCAAAATATTTTGCAAAAGCGTTAAAAAATAGTGAAAAAATCGAACGGAATTAAATTATGTTCTCCGAATCTATTAGAAATAGTTTTTTTTCTCTATAAACTATTTGCTAACGAGATGAATTCTATAACATGTTTGTGAACTAAAAATTCTCAAATTGCAAGGAAATCAATGAATTAATAAATGATCTTAAAAATAGTAACGAACGTGGAAGGTGTCAAATCAGTTATTTTTAATATACGTGAAAAAAGAAAAAAAAGAGTACGTAGATAAAAGCTTGACAGATACACTTGAAAGAGAAATGAAGTATTGAGTAGAAGTTTTAAGACGAGTTGTAATGATTATTTATTTCCTTGATTCTTGCATTTCGTGGCGTAGATAAGTATTTAGCCTCGTAATGTGAATTATTTAGGTGCTTTAGAATTGATCGCGAAATTCCATCTTTTTCTGATACAACATACATATTTTAAGCAATGGGAATAAAAGAAATGAGATCGTTTTCTAGTTATTAAAAAGGGTTTATCACTTTGACGGAATAATACATTACGATACTAGTGCGGGAAAGTAAATTTTTGTCTCGTGTGGCGTTTACAGCCGAGCGAAGCGAGGGTAGCAAGGTACAGGAAACGAGAAACTCTTTCCTGAACATGTGCCATACCGTATTTTTTTATACGACGTCTGGAAAGTGCGATTTTCAACGCACGTTTTCTGCCGAGCGTGCGGGAAAGACGCACTTTGCGCACGGAGTGTCGAAAAATACTATATTTGAGCGAATTAAAAGTGAAATAAAAGATACATAATACCGGTAAAAGTCTATTCTTGCTAGCTTACACACAGACCAATTGTCAATTATATTCCACTATTATTTAAAATATTATGTACATGAAAGATTTTTTTGTTTTATTTCTATTCATCGACATAAGAGCGAATCTTTAAAAGATGAATTAGTAAATGCATTCAAAATGCATGATTGAAACGTAAGAGACTGCAAGTTTTAATCATATAACAATACCCCTAAAATGTTAAGAAAATATGAAAGTTTATAAGTTCACATAAAAAAAGAATAGCTTAGCTTTCTATGTACCATGTATCGCACATACGATTAATTTATTCGGAGAATATTCTGTAAAAGTACGCTATAGCGTTTTTCTCTCTGCTACAATTGCTTTATAATTTTTTCCTCATCGATGGGAGGTTTTAAACAATAAATGCAAAACTTACATAGTTTGTTGACTTTCCGGTTGTTGTGACGGAGCAATACGGTAAAAGATTTAAATAATCATTAAAATAGCATATATCAAGCATTGGTCAGTATAAGAGAAAATATATCAGAAAAATCCAGTCCGTCGCGAAGCTCGTTCTTTTGCTAATAAATTAACCATGTTTGAAAATGCTTTTATGATTGTTTTCGTCTTCTATTTTGAGTAAATTTGAGAATGTGAATAAATATATCTATAATATTATATAGGTCGAATGAAAGTTATGTATGGTGACTGATGTACTTTTATCTCAATTTAATTTCTTTTAAATTGCAAAGGGGGGGAAGAATTTATCCTCGAAACATAGCGAAGTGCGCCACTGCTATGCCCCCTGCGAGTTATTAAGGGTCCTTTTCCGGTGAAGGAAGCCGGCGCTGACTTCCACAGGAGCAAACCTACCGCAATGACGGGAAGGTGAACTGACAGAATCGAAATAAGTACAAAGAGGCGATCCCTTTTATTTACGCCAATAAAAGTTACAGCAACGGTTTCATACAAACGAAATGGTGAGCGCGCTCGCTCAATCCTCAAAACGCGACAACAAACGGCGATTAGGAGCGTAATCGCTCAACTATTATACGCGACGATTATACAATGATTAGGAGCGGATTCGCTCAACTAATATTCGCGACAACTCAATTCGCGGCGTTGTACCGGGCGAGAGCTGGTACGTGAGAGAGAGATCCACAAAATATTAAGGGAACAAACCCACCGGGTGGCCCCTCCCGCGGCTCGCTGGTGGAAAGCCGACGACGGCGAAATCGCAGTCCGGCTGGCAGCGGGGCTCGCTGGATCACCGGCAGCGGCTGGTTGGCAGCTGGCGGCCGGGATCGGCTTCTCGATCGCCTTATGATGATCGCTGAAGGACTGCTAGAACAGCAGCCGGAGATCCACCACACGAAGACTTTTCTCGCCCTGGGGTTCCTTTCTCCTGGCGCGTCGTCTCTGACTTCTCTCGCGCCGTGACCTCTTTAGCGTACGGTCACTCTCCAACTGTCCTCAATTTCTCTCCCGCTCTCATAATTCTCGCGGCGCGAGCCGCGCTTTCCGCGTTCTCGCCTATTCTTCTTCCTCTCTCGCTCTCTCTCACGCTCTTCGCGCTCTCGCTTCCTCTCGCACCGTCTTCTCCGCCAGTCGCGCTCTCCCCTCTCCAGGCCCTGCAACGACACGAGCGCGCGAATGCCATGTCAACTATAGCCACGCTCGGCCGCTACATCCGTGCGAGGAGAGTGCCGCACACAGGGTTAGCGAGTATCGCTATCAACCCTGTCACAAAATTTGCGTGAAATTTTTTAAAATTTAAAAAGAAAGCTGAAAATTATAGTGAATGCGTACTTGCTGAATATTCCAATAAAAAAAGAGAACAATAATAAAAAAATTATCTAATGCATCTACTATCACTAATGATTTGTCAGGAGCTGATAAATTTAAAATTGTTACTTTCAATGTGATAATTGATAAATTTATTGTAGAGTCAAGAGTAAGAAATGAAGTGTAATCGCACATAGTAGATATATTCGAATTTTTATTGAAATTACATGATATCTAAAATGACATTTTAGAGATTAAAGCTAAACGCTTAGTGTACAAATTTATTTAGATAACTTGAATGACGATTTTTTAAATGAATTTAATCAGTTTTTTACTTTTGATCAAAATGAATAGCGATTCTTTTGACAATCATCATGGTACAGAGGTATAAGTTTCAATCCTTTATAAATTTTGAATTGGATTCTCTGAAACAGCATGATTGATGTATTTCCTAATATTTATATAGCATAATGTATATTTGTTACAATATCGATAGTTAATTACGAAGCAGAAAGTTCTTTTTCAACGTTAAAAAGAGTAAAATATGTTTTATATTTAAAAATGTTAATGTGTAACTTTACTCAACAATTGTACAAAATTTAAAAAAGATTTCTATCACTCGGTGTCTCCAGGCCTATCGAAATAGTTACGAATCACTCATGTGTCGACCCTAATGACGTTGATTGAGAATCTCATTATATCAATATAGATTTTTTGATGAAAAATAATGATTGTTGCGCTTATTCAGATTTATATTACTATTGAATATAACTCCATCATTGAAATAAACATTCCAAAGAAA